TACAGCATCCACAGTTCTTTCGGTTTTTATTTGGAAAATGGTAACTATTCAAGCAGAGTCATCATGGTTTCATGGAAGGTACATTGTGCCTGACTAATGTGCTGTATTTGGACTTCCAGAAGGCGTTTGACTAGGTACAGCTCAAAAGATTAAGACATAATGTAAACACCCACAGGTTTGAAGGTGGTGTATTGACTTGGATAGAGAATTGGCTCATGACAGGAAACATTGAGTGGGGAGAGGAGGTTCTATTTCAGGTTGGTGACACGTGACCGGTGGGGTTCCACAGGAATCAGTGCTGGGACTGCAACTATTTACAATATAAATTAACGATTTGGAGGAAGGCAGTGAATGTACAATAGCCACATTTGCAGATGACATAAAAATAGTGGAAAGTTACATTATGAGAGGGATACAAACAGTTTACAAAGTGATATTGATTGGTCAGGTGAGTCGGCAAAAAGTTAGCAAATGGTGTATAATATGAGAAGGTGTGAAAATGTTCATTATGGAAGGGAGAACAAAATAAATAAGTATTGTTTAAATGGCAAAAAACTGCAGAAAGCAATAACACCAAAGGAGATATATGCATGAAACACAAAAAGCTAGCAAACAGCTGCAGCAGGCAATCAGGAAGGCTGATGGAATGTTGGCCCTTATTTCAATGAGGTTGGAGCATAAAAAGATAAGTCGTATTGCAACTGTGCATGATGCTGGTGAGACCACATCTGGAGTACTGTGAGCAGTTTTAGTCACCTCATTTACGGAAATGTATTATTTCATTGGAGGCGGTTCAGAGGAAGTCAACTAAGATGATCCCTGGTAAGGTGGAATTGCCTTATGAGCAAAGGCAAAACAGGTTGGGACTCTGCTCACTGGAGTTTATCAGAATGAGAGACGATCTGATTGAAACACAGGATTCTTCAGGGTCTTGACAAGGTAAATGCTGAGAGGATGTATGCCCTTGTGGGAGAGTCTAGGACCAGACAGCATAGTCTCAGAATAAAGGGGTGCCAATTTAAGACTGAGATTAGGAGGAATTTATTCTCTCAAGACGGTTCTGAATCTTTGGAATTCCTTGCCACAAAGAGCTGTGGGGACAGAGTTCATGTATATATTTAAGGTTGAGATAGATCAATTCTTGATCAGAAGGGGGACCAAGGCTGAAGGGAAAATGCAGAAAAGTGGATGTGAGGAATGTGGTCAGATCAGCCATGATCCTATTGAATGGTGGAGCTGGCTCAAGGGCTGAATAGTCTACTCCTATTCCTATTTCTTATTGTCTATTGTTATTATATGTAGCAACCATATGAAAGGCAAATAGTGGGCTAATGAGAAAATAAATTGAATGATATTAATTAGATAATGCATACATGATACAGTGAATGGCCTTCCACAGTGTACGATTAACAATCAGACTAAAGTGTAGTAATCCTAGTAGCAGGAATATCAGTTAGGAAAGGTCCAAGTTAGGCAGTGTCAATTACTTCCCCACATGTAAAGTATAAATTGGTGAAATGGAGTTCATTTGAACTCCCCTTTTTATTACCAAGTGTTTCAATATGAAAATAACTGACAGCACAGAGTTATGCTTTCAACAAGATAAATGGTTAGTTTATTCAATAACTTTCAGCAATAGTTATACTTATTTAAAGTAATAAAGTTATTAACTAAAATACAGATAAAAGGATTTATGTAAGTAAGGATGTAAGTTATTAATGAAGATGAAAGAGAGATCATTCTCTACTGTTGTAGTAGGCCAAGCTTGCTCGAAAATTCTTCTCGTTTCAATCCTTTTTGAAAAGGTTATACCACTGAATTTAGTTCCATGTTCCGAATTAGTCACATTTCAAGGATTTATTACATTGTCATTCTCTATTGCAGTAGTTCCCAACCTTTTGAGTAACATGGCACTCTAAAAGTGAGGCAAACAGTTCCACGCACACCCACTTTTTTATGTCATCTCAATTTTTCCCTTTAGCCGTATGCATTTAGAATATTCACATTTTAGAATAAAAATCCTGATACTGCACTTTTAATTTGACGATTAATTTTAATGAGTTTTGAGATGTAATTTTGATTGAAAAGAATATTGTTTGAGATGAAACATTGTTTAATAATGTGCAATGGTAATGAAAATCAAAATTTTACAGCATACTTATACAAGCCCTCATGCCATATTGGTTGAAAACCACTCACTTATTTCTACAACATTCTCCAGTAGTCTTCATGCTCATGTTTTTCATATGCATCTTAATTCAGATTTATATTCTTTCATGTTCCCTATCTTTTCCCCATTTTTTTTTCCTCAATTCCTGCACAAGCATGTTTCCTTCTGTGACCATTACTCAGTTGTCTGATCCGTCTGATAGGCAGTATTGCCACCCAACCCAGCCTGCCCAGTTTAAATAATTTTCAATAACCGAGTCAAAATTGATGGCTTCTGAGCTATCCTGCTCAAAGTTGTCCTCTTGACAATCTTCCGGCAAAATGACAGCAGAGAAGGACGCTCCACCTGGAGCTCCTCTGTTCTGCCTGTTCTTTTTCTTTTTTTTTCTCTGGAGTCCTTGGAGCAGCGTTCAGAGAAACCATTCCCAGTGCAGTGCGAGGGGAATGAGTCCCGATGCAGCACGAGGGGAATGAGTCCTGATGCAGCGCGAGGGGAGCGAGTCCTAGTGCAGTGTAAGGGGAACGAGTCCCAGTGCAGCACGAGGGTAACGAGTTCCGATGCAGCATGAGGGGAATGAGTCCCAATGCAGCACAAGGGGAACGAGTACCGATGCAGCACGAGGTAAACGAGTCCCAATGCAGCACGAGGGGAACGAGTCTCGGTGCAGCACGAGGTAAACGAGTCCCAGTGCAGCACGAGGGGAATGAGTCCTGATGCAGCATGAGGGGAACGAGTCCCAGGCGGGAACGAGTCCTAGTGCAGTGTAAGGGGAACGCGTCCCAGACGAGAATGAGTCCTAGTGCAGCATGAGGGGAATAGTCCCGATGCAGCACGAGGGGAATGAGACCTGGTGCAGCACGAGGGGAACGAGTCCCGATGCAGCAGAAGGGGAACGGGTCCTGATGCAGCACGAGGGGAACGAGTCCCGGTGCAGCACGAGGGGAACAAGTCCTGATACAGCACGAGGGGAACGAGTCTCGGTGCAGCGCTAGGGGAACGAGTGCCAGAGGGGAACGAGTCTAGTGCAGTGTGAGGGGAACGAGTACCGGTGCAGTGCGAGGATAACAAGTCCTGGTGCAGCGGAAGGGGATCGAGTCCTGGTGCAGCACGAGGGGATCGAGTCCCGTTGCAGCACGAGGGGAACGAGTCCCCATGCAGCAGGACGGAAACGAGTCCCAATACAGCACGAGGGGAACGAGTCCTGGTACAGCATGAGGGGAATGAGTACTGGTGCAGCGCAAGGTCAACAAGTCCTGGTGCAGCGCAAGGGGAACAAGTTCCGGTGCAGCACGAGGTCAACAAGTCCTGGTGCAGTGCGACGGGAACAAGTCCCGGTGCAGCATGAGGTCAACAAGTCCTGGTACAGCGCGAGGGGAACAAGTCCTGGTGCAGCACAAGGTGAACAAGTCCTGGTACAGCGGGAGATGAACAAGTCCTGGTACAGCGCGAGGGGAACAAGTCCTGGTGCAGCACAAGGTGAACAAGTCCTGGTACAGCACGAGAGGAACAGGTCCTGATACAAGACGAGGGGAACGAGTCCTGGTCCAGCATGAGGGGAACGGGTCTTGGTCCAGCGTGAGGGGAACGAGTCCTGGTGCAGCGTGAGGGGAACGGGTCTTGGTGCAGCGTGAAGGGAACAAGTCCTGGAGCAGCACGAGGGGAATGAGTCCCGACACAGCACAACTTACCTCGGTGCAGTTGAGTGCTGGTGCAGAGCGGACTGGAAACTTGGAGCAGAACGGGATAATTATTGGACAGGGGCCTGACACATGCAGTCAGACCACAATGCTGAGTTGCTGCTATTTGAAATTTTTTACCAGACTGTAATGTGTGTTCTTTAACTATGTTATAATGATCTGATTCCTAACTTATTTTTTAGACGCTGTATGTAATGCTACAACTATTCCTTTTATTCTTGTTCTGTATGAAATTTTTACCTCGGTGCTTGTACCTAAGATGGCGCTTTTAGAGGCAGCCATTGTAAAAACTTTTCAGTGTACTCCTGTACTTCCGTACTGGAGTACGCATGACAATAAGAGGATATTCGATTCTATTCCGTATTCTACAAAGCTGTAACAAGAAGGTGGGATTCTTCTGATGCAGCTTAGGTAACCATGCAAGTCAATGCCTGAATGGAGAATACAATATCAGCAAGAGTAACTGTGGAAAACTTGCAAGCACTTTGCAAGAGAATCATCTCTTCTTTTAATTTATTATACTCCAAAAGCAAAATACTGAAAACCTGCATGCCAGCTTTCTGACTGAAGTAAAATTAGATTGTGGTGGAAATTCTGCTTTTTATAGTGGCTAAACAAAACCGGAAATCCAAGAGGAGTTTTCTTATCAGTCTTAAATTGGATCTTCAGAAACAAAATGATAAACCCAACCGTCTTAACTCTCTCTCTCTGGACAACAGTTTCTGCTGATCTTTTGTAACAAAAGAAGAAGTGGATGTATCCACCTTTTTCACTGTTTTTATTCCTTTCCTACAGTGGAGTCATTAAAACTCACATCGCAAAATGCAGCCTAACTATTTCAGACAGAAGTGCAACCTGACTTGTTTGCATAGGTGTTCTGTAATTCCAATGCAATACCCTTGATGACCATTATGTGTATATTAATTTATTATAGCAATTTTAAGTTGTATACCTGGACACCAAGGTTCTAATGTTTCACTGTTCTGTTATATAAATATATGTGTATATGTAGCAACCTGTATTTAAAAAATTTCCAGCATTTTATTTTCAAGATTTTCAGTATTTTACTTTTGCATTTGCAAAGTGTCTTTAATGTAGTAAAACAATCCAAGGTGACCTTTAGGGAAGACATTCTGGAGATTAGGGACTGAGCTGCAGAAGGCATTGTTGTCTAAAGCAATGATTCTGAGAGAGTTAATGTTGAAGTTACATACTTTCTGCCCCACCTGATGATCTGAAAAATCAAATGTTAATGTTGTACAAGATTATGTTGTTTTTGGACCAGTGAGTTTGTTACATCATTGAGGCAGAGTGGGGCAAGGAGTTTGAGTTTAGGAAAAATTGATGACATCCCTCAGATTGGTCAAGCTGTAATTTTCTATGGACTTGTAAAAGCAGTATACCTAGAAACATCCAGATAACATCTCTTTCCTTTTTCTCTGTGTGAGATCACCAAGTAAGAAACTGAATAGGAAGAATTCTAACACAAGAAAAGACCTAAATCCAACTGATCAACTAAAGAATCAAAGAACAGCCATCACTCTACAGATAACACCTTGTTATCATTGCTAAAATCAAATTAACTTTGACAGACAACCCATCTTTGTCATTTGGATTTTGATCTTCAGAATTGTATTCACTATATTTTTCCATCCATATCATTGTATTTGTTTGTCTTAATACTGAATGAATGTGTGTGTATTTGGGGTTTAAATGGCGATTGCAGAACTCCGTTGGTCGCCAGGTGCCATCCTGAAAAATACGCATTTATCCCTACTCCCTGCTTTCTGCCAGTCAGCCAATCCTCAATCCATGCTTATACATTGCCCTTAACACTGTGGGCTGTTATCTTGTTTCGCAGCCTCCTGTGTGGCATCTTATCAAAGGCCTTCTGAAAATCCAAATAGGTGACGTCCACTGGCTCTCCTTTGTTTAACTTGCTTGTTGCCTCCTCAAAGAAATCAAACATATTTATCAGACATGACAACACCTTGATGAAGTTGTGCTGTCTCAGCCCTATTTTACCGTGCATTTTGAAGTAGTCCGCAATCAAGTAATTGCATAACATAACTTGACAATATCATGTTGTACTGCCCAAAAGAGTGGGAGAAGGATCTTGTCAAGTTTACATACCTATGTAGGCGTTTTAGGCCAAATGGCCTATTGTTGTACTTTACATTCCATGTAATTTATGTATCTAACAATTGTTTTGATCCATATTGCCAAATTCCCCTTGATTCCATATCTTTGTTCTAAATCTCTGGTCATTTCTCAGTCATCAAATACACATTTTGACCTCCCCTCCCCCACTTTAGGAGCATTGACTGACTATAGCTATGCTCATTCACAGTGTTATTTTGCCCTTCTTCTTATTGAACACTTTGCACATATTGAGATAAAAAGCCTCATTCATTATGACATTGGCCACTTTCAGTTGTTTAATACCTCTCATTCATTCTAACATATCTCCCTCTGACTTCACAGCACTTTACTCTCTCAGATCCAACCCCGAATACTGTCTTCAAACCTGGTGACAAAGGTGCTGTTCTTATTATCTGGCAAGGTGATCTCTACCTTGCAGAGCTGAATACCAACTCTGGCATTTCCTCCAGAAAAACCCTGGACCACTAACATCAAATCTTTTTCTCCAAAGCCTTATCTCCTCTGGAGATATTTCCTCCACAGTCTCCAAATTTCTCGTCTCCCATTTTGAACAGCCTATTTCTGCCTTCTTCCGGAGTTCCACAAACAGGACAGCCTTCGTAGACTAATCATTTCAGCATGTTCCTGCCAAATTGAACTGATTTATTTCTATCTTGACCCTTTCTTTTCCCTTTGACCGGTCTTTTCCTATTTACGTCTGAGACTCTTTCAATATCGCCCATAATTTTTGCAGTTTGCAGTTTCCAGACTCTAATAATCTCATTGTCTCCATGGATGTTCAATCTCTCTTTGCACTTCTATTTCTCATTCAAAGAAATCTTTTCTGCTCTGAACCGAAGTCCAAATAATTCCCATTCACCGTCATCTTCTGCCAGGCTGAACATTTTCTCACATTGAACAACTTCACTTTTTATTTCCTCTCTCTTCCTCATTCTAAAAAATATTGCTTTGGGTACAAGTATGGGTCCCAGCTAGTCCCTCTTTTTTGTGGATTATATGGAACATTCTTTTGTTTCAGTTCTACTCAATCCCTCTCCATCACATGCTTTTCTTTTACATTGAAGACTGTACCAGTTTTGTTTTCCCATTCTCCCTCTGACTTCACAGCACTTTACTCTCTCAGATTTTGATTTTGAAAATGTCGTCAACTTTGCTGCCAATTTCCACACTTGTCTCATCTTCACATTGTCTATCTCCAGCTTTTCTCTTCCCTTCATGGATTCTCCATTCCTTTGGATAAGCAAACAATTATTCATTATAATAAAAGCAAAATATAATTGAAGAAGTTCTGAAGAATATTTTGAAGAAGAGTCATACCAGACTCAAAACATTAACTCTGATTCCCTTTCCACAAGTACTGCCAGACCTGTTGAGTTTCCCCAGCATTGTGTTTGTTTCAGACTTCCAGCATCCACAGTATTTTGCTTTTATTTGAATGTTTAATTAACTGCCACTTCTCTTCCATTTATGTCCACCTTTTAAGATGTTCTGCTGTTCTTTGACAGGATTTCCATTTTAATCTTTCTTCTTATTCACCTTCTTCATTTTCTACCTCCCAGTTCTGAAGAAGTCGTACCGGACTCAAATGGTAAGTCTCGTTCTCTCTCCACATATGCTACCAGACCTGCTGAGTCTCTTCAGCATTCTCTGTGGTATGATTCATTTTAAGTCTGGTCATTCTTGCAGCTACAATTCTGGTTGTCCTGTTTCCACTAGGGACTTAATTCCATTCATCCCATTTTTACAGCTGTGTTTCATCTGTGTTGATGGTGCAATCTTCTGTTCCAGGGTTTCAAACATGTCTTCATTTTTCCTCAAACTTAAGGATTTTTCCCACTGTGGTCTACAGGGTCCTTGACTGTCACAATCCCATTTGGTGAACTTTGGTTGTCATTGCTTCTTTTAGTCCTTACATCCCACCCCACCAATCTCTGTGTCCAATAGATCATCTTATGCCAGTTCTACTATCTCCAATTCAATGCCACTACCAAACAAGATCCCTTTCAGCACCCCAAAGAGATTTACCATCAGTCACACCTGAATCATCCCCAACATACTGTCCTTTCTCCATGGTACCTTTCCATATATGTAGGAAATGCAAAACCAAACTTTTTGCTTCCTCTCTCTCCTCACTGACCAAGGCCCTTGAAATTCAAACAGTAACTGCTTGCACTCCTTTCAGTATAATCAATATAATTCAGTATAATTTAAAGTTTTGGCAAACATCTGTAGCTCGGGTTGTGGATGAGGTCGTTGATTTGCTTGCCAAGCTGGCTTGTTTTTGTTCAGACGTTTCGTCACCATGCTAGGTGACATCAACAGTAGAGCTTCCGATGAAACGATGTTATTCTACTCTGCTTGGAATTTATTCTGTCCGGTGTGTTATGGTGAATACAAAAACCAGAAATGACAGTACTCACCATAACGGACCGGACAGTATAAATTCCAAGCAGAGCAGAATAACACTGCTTCGTCGGAGGCTCCACTGATGATGTCACCTAGCATGGTGACGAAACGTCTGAACAAAAACAAGCCAGCTCAGCGGGCAAGTCAACAACCTATATCATCAGTATTTAATGATCACAATATGATTTTCTTTACATTGGAGATTTGGTG